ATCTCTTCACACTTCAGCTCAACAACACCGTTACGAGGATCCTTACCTGAATCCCTATTACCTGCCTCCTCACGATGGCGGCCTGACCACCATCATCTCTATGAAGTTGACCGACCAGAATTACAACCTCTGGAGTCAGGTAATGGCATTAGCCCTCAGTACTAAGAATAAATTGGAATTTGTGAATGGAGCCATTCTTCAGCCGAACAGGGGTGACCCAACTTGGCAATCTTGGCATCGTTGTGACGGCACTGTGAGATGCTGTCTTTATAATTCTTTGTCTGATGATATAGCCCACAGTGTTGTCCCATTTAAGGTAGCTAAGGATGTTTGGGACAATTTGAGAGATCGATTTGATCAGGAGGATAATATTCGAGTGTATGAATTGAAAGAGCAAATTGCCAAATGTGTTCAAGGGGATATTTCTGTCACTCAGTACTATACTGCTCTTACTACTAAGTGGCAGGAATATACTATGTACAGGCCCATTACATGTTGTCCCTGCCCTAATAGTCCTTACTACATAGTCAAGAGATACCAGGATCACGATTTCATCATCAAATTTATGCAAGGTTTGAATGATGTGTACCAGTCTGCTCGTACACAAGTTTTAATGAATCCTCAGCTGCCTAGCATAGAGTCTGTTTTCAAGCAGATGGTTCAACTTGAAAGACAGATGAAGGGTCTTAATGTTGCCAAATCTGGTGTTAACTCATTGGCACTGTTAGCTCATGGTTCTCAGTCTCAGTCTCAGTCTAAGCAATCCCCTCAGGGAAGGAACCCTGGTGATTAAACTTCTGATGGGAAAAAGTGGTGCAGATACTGCAAGAAGGAAAATCACACTATTCAAGAGTGTTTCGGACTTAAGAACAAGAAGGCTAAAGAAGGTACTGATGGTGCTCCCTTTGCTGGAGCTGTTGAGTCCACAGGAAGTGAAAGTGGTGGAACTGGTGGCCCTTCCAGACTATCTACTGCCTATCTACTCTCTTTACTCCTGATCAACTTGACAAGCTCAAAGCCATGTTGATCAATTCACCCTCACCATCTCCATCACCTCCTCCTTCACCACATGTTCACCATGCCAATGCTGTGGTCAGAGCACCAGCACCACAGCCATCTCATTTCACTGCCAGCACTTCAGGTACTCATTCCTCTTTTGGTTTGCCTACACCATTTCCACCAACAGTCTGGATTCTTGATACTGGTGCCACAGATCATATCATCTGTGACGACATCAGTTCTTTCATTAAGAGCAAACCTATTACATTACCTTACCTAATGGCCATCATGTGAATGCAACTCACATAGGAATAGTGAGGTTACCCTGTGGATTATTCCTTACTCAAGTCTTATTTGTTCCAGCTTTTACTTACAATCTTGTTTCTGTAAGTAGACTCACCAAAAATCATCCAGTCTCATTGGTTTTCAAATCCAATGTTTGTCTAATTCAGGACCTTATTACTCGGAGGAGGATTGGTTTAGCCCAGGTGGATAGAGGTTATACCTGTTCTCTGATTCACCATCTCAGCAGTTTGCCTCCCCTGATTCCCCTCGACGTTTTGCAGCAGGAGTTCACCATTCCTCATGCCAGGACTCTGACATTTGGCATGCTAGATTAGGACATCCATCTCTGTCCAGAATGAGAGTAATTAAGGAAGCTTGTAATGATGTTTCTTTGTTTTTGGACAAGCATTGTGAGGTGTGTCATTTGTCAAAACAGAAGCGTTTACCCTTTCCTACTAGTAACTTTGTCAGTGTTGCTCCCTTTGATTTGGTGCATGTTGACATTTGGGGGCCATTAAACACTTTATCTAGAGAAGGTTTTTCTTATTTTTTGACTGTTGTTGATGATCACAGTCGTGCTGTTTGGGTTTTTCTCATGAAATCTAAATCAGAAGTTAAGGATATTCTTCCATCCTTTTGCTTAATGGTTCAAAATCAGTTCTCCACCTCCGCTAAAGTAATTCGTTCAGATCAGGGGCAAGAATTTCATTTAGCTGACTTCTATAGATCTCATGGCATTGCACATGAAATGAGTTGTGTGTATACTGCCCAACAAAACGGTAGAGTTGAGCGCAAACACCAGCATTTGTTAAACGTTGCCAGGTCTCTTAAGTTTCAATCTGGCTTACCCTCAGCGAAAGAGAAGTTTTTCGGACTGTTATTGAAAGTCCGCCGGAGCAGTAAAGAGAGGAAGACAAAAATTGCTTCTGTTATGGGTTTATTCTTTTGTTGGATAATGACACATAAAATGAGTTTTAAACTAGTTACTAGAAAAAATAAAACATAAACGAATCCATAGATGGGAAGAAGGGCTCTCCGTCACTTGGGTGAATAGTGGTTTTGTGCCAATTTGGTTTGTATTGGATTTTAATGCACCTAGTTGCCACATCACGTCCTATATGGACAAATAAGAAATGACGACACCGTAGTATTGGCCTTTTGAATGACATTTACAGGACTAGTTACAAAGAAAAAAGAAGACAAACGTTTGCTCTTTTGATGGATTAGAAATGAAAATCCGAGAAGTTTTCGTGGTAGAGTAAAAGACATGTGGTTTACCATTTACTTTGTGGATATTGTGAATGTTGATTATTAGTTTAGAAAGTAGGTGATTTGGCAATCTGTATATAGAAACAGATGGGGGTTGTTGGGATTACAACATAAATTCTCTCGGTTATAGAAAGCTCTAGTACCATATCAAATACCAGTTGGTCCGAATAACTCGAGTTGTTGGGAAATGTTCAATCATAAATCATATACCATTTACTAATAGTACCATACCAATTTCTATATGAATGGAGACTAATGGAATGATTGACTAGTTAGTTAGGGAAACATCAACAATCCCTAATACGTCTGCATTTTAATTATTTCAACGCTTTTTTTTTTCCGGGTTTTCTAACGATCATGCTAACAAGAAAATATAGTGGAAGGGGGGGGGGGGGGAATTGAGTCTAAGTACTACCACATTCATAATCCCAATAAAATTGAGTCTAATTCCGATCTGCCCCATTCTTGGCTCATTCGATATGAATTTCTTACAAAATCTATTCTTATTCCTGCTATTTTCACTTTTCTTTAATTAGTTAGACATGATCTTTCAACTAGTTAGACTCAATTACTCATTATATTATCACTATTTTCATTTATAAAGTGTTTTCCTTCTAGTTTTATCGTTAAAAATAAACTTTTGCGTGCATTTTTTTCAAATAACATGTAAGAACGTATCAACCCGTCCTGCCACATGCCCGCGCGAATACTACAGTAACATAGAATGGAATATGAGTATTGAGGGACTCGCCCTGCAACGCCCATTTCCATCACTGATGGTCAAACTAGCAGCAAAGTGATTGTCATTATTCATATCTCAATAGTAATCAGTCCAACCAACCAGTAAATAGTCAAACGAGCAACTTCTTCTACTTGCTGTCTCTCTATCTCTCTCAAACACATAAATTCAGCATATTTTACTACCCGAAACAGAGCATAATGTTTTACTTATGCCTATGGTGCAAGCTAAGTACATGCCTTCACCGATAGAGACTAGAGAGGCTGCTCTAAACGAGAGAGGAGACCCATATCATCCCACCAAAAATCTGGCTTCGCAAACACACCAACAACAACCCATTGGGGACCAATTTATTGGCCTGCAAACTGCCTCCAGGTCCAGAATATATGTTTTTTTAATAATAAACGATCATATGATCGTTGTTTTTGATTGAATAGTACCGAATCCTTTTCTTTCATGAGCTTGCAAGGAAGGAAGGAGGTGTCTTGAAGTAGCTGCAAGCCTCACTGTCCCTCCTCGTTGGACTTCTGCGACTCTGTCTACCAACAATCTTTTAATTTTTCCCTATTCCCCTGTTTCCAACTCAGCGTTACCACATGCTGCATTTCTCCTGATTGCTCTCCACTCTTCGCCAACAACTTAACAAAACTCAATCCATCCCCTCCACCCCGTCGGCTACATATTAGTAGCTTCAATGTTTAGTTGAACGACGATGATGGTGATGGTGATGATGATTCATGATTCTTTTTTACAGCCTGGCTGGGTAAGAACTTGGAGAGCAGGTTGTTAGGGGAAGAATAGGAACTGCTACCAAACCCTGACATACCAAAGTACCAAACAATGGGTTGGGGGCATGGGCATTATTGAAAGAGCATCATGTTGTTGTTGGTGCTGGCTAGCTCTCCTTTGCCATAATCATTGATTCATATGAAGAAATCTCAAATTTTGAAAACGACCCATTCCTACCCTCCCTCCATCCATCCAAACCCATGTTTTCAAACTTTGTTCTTGCAACTTGGGCCAAGCCTGTAGCATTATTGACATTTTTATGTTCATAGGGTGATGGGATTGGGTGGTGGAGGGGTTAACCCTGTTTGTTTGCTTGCAAACTTCCCTTTTCTAGCTTCTCCTTTTTTGTTCCTTGGAGGAGATGCCGTCCTTTGCTTTGATCACATATATTGGCCAGCAAATTGTGCACGGGCCTATAATGCCTCCCTGCCTATAACGACTTTTCATCAAAACTATACTCATTCAAGCGAGACAAAAAGTGCACCAAATCAATTGCCTTCATCCATACTCTAATACCCAATTGAAGCCTAATAGATTTGTGGCCAGAGATTCGGATCCACTCAATAGTGGGACGGTGGATCAGCAGTTCATTTTTTAACCCTACTATTTACTAGAATCTATAGAGGATTAATTATGATTAATGCCATTTGGGGTTGTATTCCATTGATTAATCAAATGAGTGGAAACAAAATAGTGATTTGTTCGCAATCATGTGGGTTTATGACAAACAAAAAGTCAGATTTAACAGCGTTTGAGAACGAATCCAAAGAGAATCAAATAGGAAAAAGAAGCAATTTTGGGGTGTTTTCATGATCAAATGATGTGTTGTAATCTTATATATCCCAATCCCAGATTCTACTCTGTTTCTCTATCTATAGAATCATACATGATCAAGTAAACTAAAAAGATAAAAAGCAAATTAGTCCAGAGATACAGGCAAGACTGCATTTTTCGAAGCTCTGTTATGCCCAAACGAAAAGAAATTCCTTCTGCTCCTGCTACTTCCACCACTACACCCTTCAACTGGAATACCCACTTCAGCGTTCTGCCTATCGTTACTAACACTACTACTCTGCTGCTGAACAATCTCTTGAATTTTTAACAACAGCTGGCAATCCACCGAGGAATCCATAGAAAACGACCGCCGAATCGGCTGAATCCCGAACCTGTCCTCTTTCCCTCTCGTGAGATCGATACATTCATCTCCTTTACTCGTCATCACTTTCCTGCCCACCTTCCTCCCCTTCTTCTCATCCACGGCAGCGCCGAATTCGAATGTCCGGGGCGTCGGCAGAAGTTCGCCTGAATTCATTAGCCTTTCCTGCGCCGCTCGCAGCGTCCGATCCGTGGAGCTCTGCCGGCTGTTCGTCACGTAATTTCCCAATTCGATCACCACGTAATCTTCGTCCCCGCCGATCTCGATCCTTTCCGGGTACGGAGTCGGGCTGGGATCGGACGAAGACCCGAAAACCTGACCCATGGGCAGCAGCAACAACCCGGGCCCTGTTGCTGAAGAGGAGGAGGAAATGCTGGTCCTGCAGAGCGGGCAGTTGGCGTTACTCTGCAGCCAGACGTCGATGCAATCGATGTGGAATAAGTGTCCGCAATGAGGGATTTTACGCAGCTTCTCTTCTTCGACGAACTCGTTGAGACAGACGGCGCATTCGACGGAACATGGCGATTTCCCCTGTTTTTCCTGATGCTCTGTTTTGGTGTACTTGAAAACAGGGATCGACCTTATGACCGATTCCTCGAGCCCCCTGGGCTCCACTGCTGAAGGGGAGTGAGCAGCCATCAACGCCTCCTCGTGGGCTCTGCCTCTCGACAGTGAGAATCTTCTGAGGATGTCGATTCGGTGCCAATTGAGGCAGCATTTGATGACGAAGACGTAGTAGCTGACCAGTAGGAACGCTGTGGCGATTATGCCGATGACGGCCACGGCTATGATGGGGAAGCTGGTGTCGGAGGAATGTAGCAATGGGGCAGGAGGCGGTGGCGGAGGAGGATCCATGGAGATGGGGTAAAGATGGAAACTTTTATGAATTGGTGAGATTGTTGTACCAGTTAAGTTTGGGAGGAGACAGTGAGCATGTTAATCTGGGGACATTATTGAAACATGGGAAGCAGAGAGAGAGAGAGAAGAAACCCAGGTGGTGTAAATGAAGGGAGAGGGAGTCTTAAATGATGGGAACGCCATTGAAATTCAACGAGAAGTTTTCCACCACTTTTTTAATACAACCTTTCTTCGTTTCATTTATTTATTCTATTGGTATGAATAAAAAACTTATTAAAAACGAAAGAAGAAGAAGAAGAAAGGGAGAAGTCTGAACTCACTGAAGAACAGCTGTAGTAGTAGTGTACATAGTTGGCGCGGTATTCCTCTGTATTTCATTTTCTATATCTTGCTCTGTTCTCTCTGCTCATGTTGGTGTTGTTCCCATGGGGGAGTTGAGAAAAATGTTTCTAACATTTGCTTTTGTATTGTTTACTTGTTTTATTTTGGGTAAATACAATTTAATATCCAAACTTTTTATTTTAAACAATATAATAGTCAAACCTTTTCGAAAACAATCTAATATCCAAATCGTCAACTTTTTGTCTCTTTGACCGTTAGTTGACACTTCAAAAAGTTCTAAGTACGACCCTTCATCAATATCCATCGATATCTTCTCTGAAAAACCACCAACATATCGTAGTTCCAAACCCGAGAAGTCTATGACTCCACCATGATGGTATAGAATATCTAAATATTCAGTCATCTGCAATGCCAAAACAAGAAAACAAAGTTGTATTGTGATTATGCGCTTTATCCCTCCAATACAAGAAAATACATTTGTATAATTTTTAGTTATGCTAAATTTCTTCAAAACAGAAGGGGGGAAAAGATACAAAAGCTTGGATTTATGGGTATTACGAAATAGCAAAGCTGCCAAAAAATTATGGATCACCAACCTACCTCCCATTACCAAACATCTGCTTTTCCAAAAGAAATACCAACAATTTGGGGTTTGTTTTCTCGTCACATTACTTTAATCCATGATTATGATTCTTCTCATCATGCTATAGTGATGACCTAACAAAGTTTTAAACTACATCAAAGCTAAACATCTATTCAATTGCCACACCACACGCTCACACCTAATAAGTGAGAGAACCATCCAATATACTCTTAATTTGGGAACCACTCTTACACTCTGTTTGGGAAGAGGGGTAAATGGGAGGAGGGTGCAAATGTGAGGGGTAAATACAGTTTCCAACACATTTGCACCTGTTTGGTTAATTTGGAACAGTAGGGGGGTGCAAAACGGGAGTGCAAATTTACTGTTTCGGCTTACCCCCCAAATTGGGGTGCAAGGGAAGGAAGGAAGAGAGGGGGAGGGGGAATTATGGAATTTTGTTTTTCTAATTGTGTTATATATAATTATATAATAATTAATATTATCAATTTCTTCTTTTTATAAATATCATTAATGTAAACATTATTCGGGGTTGACCATTTGACTCGGGAAACAAGTTTATCAATGTTCGTCAAGTCAAATCTAGATCTCTTGGTTGAATCGAATTTGCATTGAAAATTAGAGATACGAGGTGTTTGTGAAAAAGATAGAGAGAAATTGTTTGGTTAACTCAGTTTATTTGAATAAATAGTTAAAACTTACAAATTCGAACGTGTTTGACTAAGTTTGACAATTTAAAATTAAACTAGACACGAAAACCCTATATAGGATGACCAGTTACAAGTTGAGCTTCGAGTTTTGAGATCGCTCGATCAATGATTATACAATTGTCATAATTAATTATTATTTGAACATTATTATATAATAACTATTTTTAGTAAAGTATATTTATTATTATATAATAATATTTATTTTATTATTTTGTGATAATATTTTAAAATCTATTTTGTAATCTAAAATTTATTTTAAAATAATATAATTACTTACTTTTCACTCTATTTGCACCCCCCTACTTTTTCATCCAAACAACAATTTACCCCTCCACTTACACCCCCAGCAATTTGCACCCCCCAACAATTTACCCCTCAACTTGCACCCTCCTGCAATTTGCACCCCCCTTGTTGCCAAACAGAGCGTTAATCTTGAGTTGGGATGGCAACAAAATCCGAACCCACGGGTACCCATCCGGCCCAACGCGAGTAAAACCCGTGTTGACGGGTTTTGGGTCGGGTTCGGTTTAAACCCGCTACACTATTCATTGGGTTGGGTTGAGTTTGGGTTTAGGTAAACTCGCCCTATGAGTACCCGCACACACACATATAATGATTTTCCGGTATATTTAATATTCTAAACAATATATCTTCCTTAAACAACTAATATTCTTTATGTTTGTGGAGACATGTATAATTTGTGCTTTCTAATTGTTTAGAATGAAGTTGATATTATGAAGTGGAGAGTGAAGAAACTTAGTTGGGAGGAAGAAGCTTTCAATTAATCATGTTGTTTATAGATGTTTATCTTTAATTTTGAACAATTTGTATTGATCACTTGCGGTTTGCTTGTATGCTCTAGATTGGTGTTTTTTGTATGAATAATGTGTATGAGAAAATTGATGTTAAACTTTTATTTTGAAAGAAACTTGTTATTGTAAATTTTTTTACCACAAAAATCCACGAGTACCCATGAACCCGTGGATACCCAGCGGGGTTGGGTTTGAGTTTTTCAAACCCAGCGGATTTTACCCCAGGTTTTTTTGGCGGATAAACCCATGGTTTGAATTTGACAAAACCCGCCCAACCCGACCCATTGACATCCCTATAATCTTGAGTGCATTTGATACATTATAATCTAAAACTAGTTTTTAGTCATTAAATTTTAAGTTTGATGAGCGATATTTATTTGTTATGATGGTATAGTTTGTAATTACAACTAATAATTCATTTTTGCTCATAAATTTCCTCATACCAGTTATTACTGGGAATTTATTTTTTCTTTGAATGAAAAAATAAATTTTTTATGATTACAATCATTAAAATTTCGAAGGGTAACATGAAATGCATTTTCATGCAAATTTACACATTCTCGTGTTTATTGTTATATGATATGAAGATAAAGATCGTTTTGAGACTAATAGGGTGATCAGAATAACGATCAAAGACGTATCATTTTAGGCTAGGGTGTATTTTGGATGAGTTAGGAGAAGGTCAAGAAAAGTGAAGTAGTTTCGGGGAGAAAGCCATTTTTTTTTACAATAATGTGGAGTCTGCCTGATGATTATCGAGATTGGCGTTCATAGTAACTTTAAGCTAGTACATAGCATTTGTAGAAGTTGTCACGAAGAGAACATGGTTGAAAGGACTTGATAGTGGTCTTCGTCTATATCATCATGGTGATGAATAATTGAATATTATCATCATACTTTGAAATGCAGTATGTCTCATCAAATGATAGATCAATGTATCATGAGACAGAGAACTAAACATATATACATGAGATATCAATAATATTCATTTTTCCATATCATACAAGAGGATTAAAGTAATGAAAGTAGACACGGCCAATAATCTTATTGACATCGTCGCTAAATCGTTCTTTCTCATGGCAAGGTCCAACAATGCTTGAACTTGCTAAATGTTTCGAGTTGTTAATGGCAACTTTGGTTTTCTTTGATTCATATGGTATGCAATGTGAAAAATGTGTTGATGTGAATCTGATTTGTACCTAAAATGCGATTGAGAGTCACGAGCTTTCACCTTTTTTGTTTAGAAAATGTGCATCGATTTTTCTACCCGAACGAGTCTCGCTTAGCTACTATAATTATTCTGATTCATTTGTTTACACATTAAACTCACACAATCATTTCAATTGAGGAGAGGAGCTTGATTACTAGCTAGTAGGATTATTAAAAGCCAAAAGTGAATTGATTTGGGTAGAAATTAATAGCGGGTCCTCCTCCTCGACATAGATTGTACAGAAATAATAAGATAGGTAGCGGAACCGGGGGCCTAGCTAGCTTGTCAGCAAAGAGATTTGCATAATTCTCACAAGTCAAAGCCCGACACCCGGGTTCCGCTACTTATATAAATACAACCGACACCCTCCGGCGTGTTGACGAATTGTACGTAGAAGAAGTTAGAACGACAGAAGAATTAATGAGATCAAACAGATAAAGTTTCTATTGAGGGGAGAAAGAAGAAAACAAAAAAAATATATATATATATATATATTTAACAGTCAAAAAGGTCCATCTACCATGGCCGGCCCTCTCCCCTCCCTCAAGAAACTTCAAAGCTCCTTTACGAACCAAACTTTTGCCTTTCTGGGGAAAACTTATCCGAATTCCAACGGCACAATTAATCTTCCAGGTGGGCACAACAGCAAGGGAAACAGATTGGGTTCATATGTAAACACGTGATTAATTTATAAGACAAAACTAGCTACTTAATTAATTGAGAAAGTTATGATTGTACACTAATATGATAAAGGTAAAAGTACAAGTGGCACGTGCAGGGATCAACAGCTGGAAATGAACAAACTTGGTTGGAAGAGGGTAGCAATATAATTAGAGCTGGATGGATCGAAACTGAATAAAATATATGACAAAAAAACAATTAACAAATAATTCGTAAAAACTCAGAATAAAAACAAACCAAAGACCCAGAAAACAAGAACATGAAATGATATAGATCGATGAGCTTGTACTGTTTGTCAGGTTTATTTTAGTGTTATATACTTATATATGGTTCACCACCACACATCTAAGGTTTAACCATTCATATATTTTTTTGGTTCTCACTCATTCGATGCATTGACTCGTTCGTGTGGTCAAAAGGACAACATATGAGATCTCTTTTAATTTACAATTGAAAACTGTTGATCTTGAATTCTGAACAAGACTTCTCGAAATGGAAGTGGATTGTGAATGTTAAAAGAGAAGAAGCGATACAATCGATATATCGATTCCAGATAATCACGAATAAATATAAATTTAATGTGGTTCATTAATACAATGTGTGCTAGCTAATTCGTGGGTAAGGAAGAACAAATTTCACTAATTTGAGCAGAGTACAGATTACAAACCAAATTCCGAAACGGACAAACCAAACAAACTAACCTAACAACAGATTAGGGTGGTGAATAGTATTTATAGAACTTTTCTCCTAATCCCAAACAGAAAACCAGAAAACAAAACACATTTTCCAAACATACAAGGAAAATGTCAAAACAAAGCCCAGACACAAACTCAAACAAAATAGGCCCAAAACACAAAAAAATTCAAATCAAATTCAAGTAATATTCTAACAATCTCCACCTTGACTTGAATTTTCTGTCAAATACCAGATGTACCAGACGCAACAAAAGTTGCCAGATGTACACAGACACGACCCGTATCGCCAAACTCAAACGCGATGGAAATCACCAAACTCATATGCAATCGAAATTGCCAGCTGATGTAACAAACTCCTCAAATCTCCAAATGTGACAAAATCTACCCTACCTCCAAATGCTTCTAAGGGGGCGGCCAACAAACCATTCGGCAAGTCCAACCCATGTTGAGACATGACATTCAAAACCAGCTTAGTGCACTTATAACCAACAGAACATGTCAAAATAGAACCTTGTAGACCATACAAGGCACCAACCTTAACACCTTTTAGAATCACCTTAGAAGCTTTGTAGACAAACAACACTTCACCTTCACCTTTGAAACTAATACCCTTGCCGTCTAGGAGACTCAAAGATATAAGATTATTAGTCATCTCTAGAATATGCCTAACATTGTTCAAAGTGTAAATAGAACCATTATGTGTCCTTACCTTGATGGAGCCTTTTCCGACAATCTTGCAGATAGCACCATTGGCCATAGAAACATGTCATCAATCTATCTACTCACAAGTTAAAAACATTCCCTGCTAGGACAAATATGATAATCAGCTGTAGTATCTAAATACCACATATCCTAATGATGTACCTGCTCATTCATTGCTAAGGCTAAATCATCTTCAGAATCAGAGTTAGTTTCTTCCGCTACAACAACAAATGATTCCTTCTCCTGATATTTCTTTAGACTAGGACAATCAAATTTCCAATGCTCTCTCTCCTTACAGTAATGACAAATATCATCCTTCAACCCAACATAATTCGACTTTATATCTGCTTTCCTATTACCAGATTATTGTCTCCTACTACTCGTAGCAGCCAACCCAGATGCCTGATTTTCAGAACCCGAACTAAATGCCTTATGTCGAACCTCTCTAGTATGTAGAGCATATCTGACATCTTACAGATTCAAACTATCTTTCCCAACAATAAAAGAATCCACAAAATTCTCATATGATTGTGGTAAAGATACTAACAGAATTAAGGCAACATCCTCATCATCTACTTCAACATCAATATTCCACAGATCTAACAAGATAGTATTGGGTTGATCTAGATGATTCCTGAGAGACGTACCTTCCTCCATACGCAAACTAAACAAACGTTGTTTCAGATGTAACTGGTTGGTTAAAGACTTTGTCATGTATAGACTTTCATGCTTCAACCACAAGCTCGCAATGCTCCAAAACAGGACAAACAGGTCGGGTAAATCGGGTCAGGTCGAAATTGCCATCCCTAATTTCAAATATACATTATATAATTATTTGATATCATAATGATCAAATTATAGTGTATTTTATAGGGAATCGTTTGGTATTTGTTAGTAAAAAACTAAACAGAACGATCTATTTGGTTATTTTAAACATTAAAACGATCCTAAACATTTTCAGTTCCTTTTGAATTTGTATGGTTTTATTCTCGAATAAGTGATGTGCAAATGGCGAATTGCAGTCATCTCTTTTCTTTCACTATTTTTTATTTTCAAATAGAAAGTTTAAAAGTAAAGAATAATTAGAATTTGGCATGGGTCAGTCAAACATGCTGAATTTCAAGTTTTGGCCCGTTTTGATCAAGTCTAATTTATAATCACATGGTTCTCTGATACCCGATAAAAATCTCAATCCAAACCAGTTTGGCAGGTGAGTCCGTGTTTACCACCATTTTCTAGGATACGACAACGGCGGTTCCTATCCCAAATTAGGGGTGGGCATTGGGTGGGTCGGGTGGATTTTGACCATAAAATGCACCCACCCGCGCTTAAACGGATTGATAATTTTTAACCCACCACCCACCCACATTTAGTCTCGGGTTGGGTCGGGCGGATGGTGGATGATGCGGGTGGGTTTGTGGGTTCACCCACATCACAATGTATATAATATAAAGGAGTCAACTTAACATGATAATAGGTGAAGTGAATCATCAAGGGAAACAAGAAGTTGAAATAGGGCGAAAAATTTCGAATTAGTTCTTAAATTGGATAGAAATACTATTGTGAAAGAGTTTTCTACAGATTGAGACGATTATTAGGTGCAAGGAACTAAGGAAAATAATTACACAAAGGAAAGAGTGGTGATCTAGGCACAAGAATTAGAGTAAAAAGTAAAGGAAAGAAGAGGGGATCTCTATTTGGAAGGTTGGCTTTGAGGTTCAAACTCCAGGAGCAGTCCGAGTTTATATCTAACTTTTCCACTCTCCTCTCGATCTCTAGCGCCAACGACTTTGATCTTTTAGCTGTTGGGTTGAGCGGGTCACCCGCACACTCACCCACAACCCACCCACCACCCGACGGATGGCTTCCAGCTCAACCCGTCACTCACCCACAGACCCACCCACTTAACGAAATTCGGGTCAAATGCGGGTGGGTCGGCCCAAACCCGCGGATGATCCGCCCGCATGCCCAGCCCTATCCCAAATTGTGTCATTCGTTCTTGATTTCCTTAGATTTTATCATGGCCTAACAAAAACCAGAAAGCACAATGACGACAAGATGAAAGTTTTATAAAGCAAATTAATCGACCAACGGGCCGAGTAAAAGCTAGGAACGATTGTGAGATGCTCATTTCCCGAAAACCGACGGGATAGGCGATTTTTTATTCGATTTTCAGGAATTCGGTTTCTATAAAACTTACTCCACCTCATCATATTACCAGAAACAATATTGTTTCACAAGGTAATATGTACTTGATTTTGGTTCATAAAGCCGATTTTTGATTCATTGCATCATTCATGTCTCTTTCCAGCTAAAATTCACTATTTTTATCACGAATTTCCCAAAAAAAACTATACAACAATAAGCTATACACCCAATTATATTATCAAATTTCATACCTCACCTTCCTCCGACCAACTGGCCGGGGCGCACACTAGTTGCTCATTTAAGAAAGCAGATTAAAACTGAGAAATTTTTGGGTCGCAGGATTTCCAAAATCTACATATTGAATATTGAAATAGCTAACCCCCGGCCATTTTTAAATCCGGCACAAGCTTCTAAATTTGTTCCCAACGTGTCCCTCTCATTTTTTGCTTATTCTATCTTTACCCTCATGTTTAATTTCACTAAACTAACTCTTTTTCTTTCTTTCTTCGATCTTCTCCCGCTTCACCCTTCTTCCCCACGATAAGATGCGTTTGTTCATATCGCTGATGCTGATTCGATGACAGTTTGCTGGTTTGAACAACAGACATTAGAAGACCCAAACCTAGAAACTGATATCCTCGTTCCTCACAATAAAGGCTTTGATAGCATGAAAACTCATTGAGGAACACAAATAAAAATACTGTATTTTACGTGGTATCCCTGAGATTCACAACTAGTTCTCTAGTAAGGTAGAACTCTTTAGAATTGAATATTATTTAGTTTATATTTTTTCCGTACAACAAGACATACATATAGACGTGGCTAGTTATAAAAAAAACCTAAGAGTCCTAGTTAGATAACTTTTGTAATTAATTAAGAATATATTTACTAAAAGCTACCTAAACTAAACCAAGTCGTCAGTCCATTTGACAAAAAAAACCAAGTCGTCAGTCTTAACAACCATCCTCCAACCCTACATGGATCAAACAATTGGTTTGTGTGAATATTGTGGTGACTTGATTTGTTATGGATGTGAGAAGCGGTTAGATCCAGTCCTTAAACCCTATTTCTTAAGGAGGATCTTAAACTCATTTCAGTCAATAGGAGGAGGAGAAAGATAATCATCATCAATCATTGACTAACTACCTATAAGTACAAGGATGGAATATACATAAAAATTAATGACAATAATAAAAAGGAAAAAAGGAAACTAATCCCACAAACCAAAAAATGGCCGCCATAAATCATTTTGAAAAGATGCATCTCCTCCCAACCCTAGAACTTCCCACCATTGATCCTCTCCCTCTATGTCGTTCTCTCCCACCGTCGTCTTCCTCTCCGCCGTCGTGTCTCTCTTGTCCGGCCACAATTCTCTCGTCCGTAACTGGCGAACGGCGGATGCCGCAACCGCCGCTTAGTGCTCCGACAATCCCAGCTTAGTCGTTGCTTCGTCGTTGCCTTTTCCGACGAACACGACCGACGTCTGGTGGTTGAGCAACCGGCGGTGGCATGGAACGTGCACTGCCTTTTGATTTTGGTATGAAAGTTTTTATGTTGTTTGGGTAATATATATTGGTGAAAGCTTAATTGTTTTTTTCGTTGGTTGTGGTTTTCGTTGAAAGGTATTAGATGATCTCCTCTCAAGCTGAAAGCTTAATTGTTGATAGGTATTTGTGATCTCGTCATTTTTTTTTGTTATCAATGATATTAATAACGAAATGTGAAAATGTTAATATGGCATGGAAGAAAGCTAATATGTAGTGGTGATGACGTTGTTAAATCGATGTAGTTACCGGTTAATAATTGTACTTTTATAATTAATAATAGGTTATTGTTCGGTTATTAAGATGTAATAATATGGATTGACAATGTGGTTGAATATTATTAAAATTGTTACTGTAATGTGTTAATAACGTTGTTGGGTACATCAGATTAAAAGCTTCTCGTAGTATAATATTGATGTAGTTAAATAATTCAAGTAGTAAAATTAATAATAGGTTAGTGTTCAGTTAATTATGTATAATAGTATGGGCTGACAATGTTGGTGAACTTGAAAATTATATTAATAGTGTAACGTGAAAATGTTAATAATGGAGGGAACAAAATTGAAATGTACTGATGAACACATTTTCACATCGATATAATTTTTTATTAATAATTGCAACAATATAATTAATAATAATTGTGTGGTCGGTTAATGAAGTTTGATAATATGAGTTCATAACGTGGTTGAATACTATTAAAATTGTAACTTTAGTGTGTTAATAATGTTGATCAAAACCTTAGATTAAAGGCTCCCCGTATTGTCATGGCAATGTAGTTACTTGTTAATAATGTAAGTAATAGAATTAATGATAGTGTACTGGTCGGTTAATTATGCTTAAAAATATGGGCCGGCAATGTTGCCGAAGTTGAAAATTATATTAATAAAGTAATTGAAAATGTTAATAAGGGAGGGAAAATATTTTAAATGTACTAGTTATCACGTTTTCATAGCGATATCATTTCCTGTTAATAATTGTAGTAATATAATTAATAATAGTCGCGATGTTGGTTACTAAGGCATAATAATATGGGTTGATAACGTGGTTGAATATTGTTAAAATTGTAACTTTAGTATGTTAATAACGTTGTTGGAAACCTCAGATTAAGTAATCCACGTATTGTCATAGCGATGTAGTCACTCGTTAAGAATTCAAACAATAAAATTAACAATAGTGTAGTGGTGGGATAATTATTTAAAAAACCTTTATCAATGTGTGATTTTTAATGGATCGAATTTATTCATTTTTTTCTTTTAACTGTCGCATTATTAACCATTTATCCACCATTTTAACAATTTCCACATACATTCGCTTTTGCAGTGGTTTTCCCTTTGTGCATCGACACACACTTTGTTGTCTATTGTGTTGATATACGAAAGAAGCAATTCCAATTTATGCACAGTTTCCTGAAGTGTGGGAAAAATAACAGTACAAACTGATGGGGAAGAAATTTGTATAGTACGTCATTGCCTTTTGTGGCTGGCAAGTGAAATGAGAGATAAATTTCGATAAGTTCACATGGGAGTCTGTCCTTGGTTCAGGCAGTCAAGCGGCACTTCCTATGGTGCTTATGCTCTCACTTTCCTAGAGTTTTGGAATGGTGCAAGAGAGCACAGATGGAAGTCCTTGTGGAATAACCCCGTCTGCATCAGCATGAGGAGAGCTGAATGCTAGTTTATTTTTGATATTATTAGGGCCGATTGTCATTTGACGTTTTATTATTCTATGGTTCTAAACATACATTGATATGTTCTATTGGCGAAGTTAGTCATATGAGTTAATTATCAATTTTTTTGCTATGAATTTATCAATGCAATAGCAGAACAATATTAATAAATATCAAATCATAATTAATGAGTACAGTCGAAATAACAGAACATTATCATTTTTTTGGATGAATTTTTTAATGAAACAGCAGAACATTATTAATATATCTCAAAGCATTATTTATAAATACACTCGAAATAGCGGGCCATAATATTATATATTCGGGAGCAACGTTATCAACATTTATGCATATGATTATCACTGTCATTAATGTTATCAACTATTACACAATTTCATCATCATTTGCAACATTTTCCTCGTCATTATCAATGTCTCTTGCCCCTACTCTTATTGAAATCTTCCTTCACCTCACTTACAAAAACATCATATGAATGCAAAGCAATATACCGACTGCAAATCGTCCCTTCCACCTCTCTTACGCGATGTATTCTTTGTACGGGACATATTGTGGAGCACTAAAAATAATACAAATTACACATTAATATATTTATAACCTAAGACTCGACAAATAAGAACAACAACAAAAAAATGTTGAGCATGATAGTATGGTAAATGAATTTCAAGTACCAACGAATTGAAAACAAAAATTCACTATTTCTAATGTAAAAACAAAACGAAACATTAAAAAAAATACATGGCATATAATAACATTATTAAAAAGGATTATGAACACCATTAATAATAAAGCAGCATAATTAGTTACATACCTAGTTGTTGATAATGCCATTTCATAAAGTTACAAACATAAACTAAATTGTTAATAATGAAATAAATATGGTTGTATTGTGGCCGGGAAAAAACATTGACATAGCCCTTTAAAAGATTACAAATCATAGTGATCTAAATTGATAATAAACTGCATTAGTGCATCAATTTCGAGTACCAACAAATTGTAAAAACAATTTCATCTTTACTAATGTTAAAAAACGACCATAAGAAGTTAATAACGCAATACAATGTACTTAAAAACATGTCCAATAACCTTAATAACAACAAAACAATTAACAACAACGAAAACCCTAAAACTATGAAACAAACGAAAAACCTAAACTTTAAAAACAATAACAAGCGAGAAAAAGAAGGCACTGACAACAGATGAGGGCAACGTCGGAAGCCAACGACGTAATCGACTGCAGAAAGGAACGACGACGGATGTGAGCGACGTCGGAAGCCGGATCTATGCCGCTGTTGACAGAAACAAAAAGCTTGGTATTGACGGAACTCGAATCAGATAGATGAACATTGTAGGCAGCCGACCGGAGAGGGGAAAGGAGGGGAGCAACGCCGGAAGCCGTTGCTTTCAGTGACCTCGACGAGAACTCGACGACAAGTCAGAAATCGATGGGTCGGGAGAAAGCTGACGACAAGCTTGCTATTGACGAACAACTGCGATAGAAACGACGACGAAAGATTAACGACGAGGGACAAAGGATGAACGAAGGAAGGGATCAACGACGGACGTGAGGGACGTCGGAAGCCGGACAAACGACGAGGGAAACGGGAAGACATAGGTGAACTTTGTGGAGACTTACGTTTTGGCTGGGATTGCAGAATGAGGTTTAGGAATAATGCGTGGACTAATAATAGGTTAATTATTATGATTATATTATTAAACATAATTCCTAAAAAACCCTTATTAACTACCTAACCAATAACTCCCTCATAATTACCTAAAACTCCAGCAGCCAATAGAATTGCTTTAAGATCCTTCTTAAAAAATGGGGTTTAAGGACCTGAACTTAGGCCATGTGAGAAGGGGTATTTAACCCTGATGTTACAACTGGAGCTTAATCCACTAGCTATAAACTAGCTAACTATTTAACCACTACATACACGACACAGACCACTAACATAATAATAAAATGAGATTAAATAATATCCTTATCACTGTTAGTAAATGATATATGATCCACGATTGAACCTCTCCTAACAACTCGAGTTATTGGTAGCAACTGGTTCTTGACATAGTATCAGAGCCTGGTGTAACCGAGAGTTCTTCGGTTCGAATCCCGGTGACCCCCATTTGTTTCTGTTAAGCACATGGTGTCTGATGCCTGTGCAAACTTCAAGCCCATATATGGTGGCTTTCGTTTGAGGGGGTGTGTTAGTAAATGGTATATGATCCACGATTGAACCTCTCCCAACAACTCGAGTTATTGGGAGCAACTGGTTCTTGACAATCACGTCCCCGCATGATGGAGGAGGGGATGACGCCAATCTTGGAACGAAGGAGCTGAAAGCGCGTGATGGGTAGTGGTTTCATCAAGGAATCGGCGAGCTAATGAGCTGTGGGAATGTATCGAACATGAAGAGCAGCGGACTGAACAAGCTCGCGAACAAAGAGATAATCAAGAGCCAAGTGTTTCATACTTGAGTGATGAATATGATTGGCGGAGAAGTTGACAGCACCGAGGTTGTCACAGTAGAGTACCGGCGGACTAGAGAGTGGGTGATGCAGCTTGGTGAGGAGTTTTTGGATCTATAAGATCTTCGTTGTCGCATGAGCAAGGTCACGGTATTCAGTTTCCGTGCTAGATCGGGCAACTGAGCGTTGTTTCATGAACTTTCACGAGACAAGGTTGCCGCCGTAGTAGATGAGGTGGGCCATGGTCGAGGTGCAATCCACGGGGATCACTAGCCCAATTAGAGTTTGCAAAGGCAACAATGGTGGGAGTGGTGGCTTGAGAAAGGCTGAGACCGAGGGACGCAGTACCACGAAGATATCGAAGAAGGCTCTTGCAATGTCATGGCGGGTACACAAAATATATTGAAGAGAACCAATGACCTGCTTTTAGAGTGTTATATCGGCCAGAGGAGAGCCATCGTTGAGGACCGGCTTGGCGGTGGCAGATAACGGAGTGGGAGCGGGATCGAAGTTGGCCATGTCGTAGCGATGAAGAAGATCGAGGACATATTTCTGTTGGGATAATAAGTAGTCAGTAGAACAGGGAAGCACCTCGATCCCCAAAAAGTAACCAACAAAACCAAGACTCTTGAGAGAAAACCGGACAACTAAGTGTGCCTGGAAACTAGCCAGAGCTGCCGTAGGAGTCTCAACCTATTTGACTGGCATTGATGGCGATACAGGCATCCTCCACCCTCTGGCACAACTGGCTGGGGCACCCTCACCTATAAATCTTATCTCGTGTTATTCGTATACAGTCTCTTCCTATTACCTCCACATTGTCTATTTCATCGTGTGATTCATGTTCTCTTCATAAAAGTCACAAGCTGCCTTTTTCTGTTTCTAGCCTCTCTAGTACTCAACCATTTGATTTATTATAAATGGATGTTTGGGGGACTTCTCACATTATTTCTCATGATAATTTCTCCTACTGACACGCCAAAACACAACACCAAACTGCGACCAAGTGTAATCGCAGTCCGGGAATGCAGTAACATGCAAGTTATATTATCAACCCGGGGTCTAGATCTACTGCTTACTCCGTGAGTTTCTATTATCTAGCAAACTAATTCGAGTGATTGTTGTTTAAAAGCAAAAGCAGTAAGAAAGCAGTAAACTGTTCGGTTTTCAAAGTCAGGAAAGAGTCACTCGGGAATGAGTCCCCCTAGCCCCTTAGTTAGGTTCAATTGTAATTACCCTGGGTTGATTCACTGTTGATTAGACTGCAGAAGTTCCGACAGTAGCTTGGAATCTCTTAAGCTGACCAAGCCCTCTCAGTCTAGCTACCCGGCAGACGACTAGTCTTCACCGGGATAGAAAGCTGAGGCTATGAACACAGAACTCCACTACTGGAATTGAATTCCAGTACAAAGCAGTAAACTGGCTAACTCTCGTATAGCCAATCTCCTACTATCGAATGAAGAGGCTCTAACAACCTAATCAGATTCTATCTATCTCAGGTTGCAGCAGAAATTGAGAAAAGCTTATCAGACTCAAATCAATTCAATAAACATGCATCATTCGATTAAAATCAAACATTAATATCATCCCAAGTCATTACAATCAAATCCCTAACACAAGGAACTAGGGTTCTTCATACCCAAGTGAGAGAAGGGTTCTACTCCATAGAGAGAGAAGAGAAAACAGTAATCGGATTAGTCATACTCATAACGATGAGGAAAATCTGCTCCGGGACGATGATTTCCACTCCTATGACGACCTCCAAGCTCGATTCGATGAAACCCAGCTCTAAGATAGCTTCTAGGATGTGTTCTTCGTACTTTCTCTCTCTAGGGCTCTGTTTCTGCTCTGAAAACTCGATTCTCCCACTTTTGGCTCGGAATAGGCTCTAAAACCAGGATTTCCCGACTCGCACGGCCAGGCCACACGGCCGTGTAGCTCACCACTTTGCCCGTGCGAGTCGAAACGCGGCGCATCAATTAGTCGATCTTCAGCCATCTCACACGGCCAGGGTTGCACGGCCGTGTGAGAATTCCAGTCTGCCCGTGCTCGGCCTCGGCAAAAATCACACGGCTAGAATTTCACATAGCACGGCCGTGTGAATTTCATGGGTTGCCCGTGCGTGGCCTTGAAACCTCGCCATTCGTCCGATCTTCGTCCAATCGACCCCAGACTCGCTCCCAAGCCTTCATTCACGTACTAGGACCTGAAATATCACAAACAAGCACATCCTAGCGTGAAATCGGCCTAAAACACGAGAATCAACACCTCAAACGGTGTAAGAACGAGGGTAAAAATATGTGTAAATAACGGTCTATCAAACTCCCCCACACTTAACCGTTTGCTTGTCCCCAAGCAAACCAAGTCAGACACCAGGTAAGCTTACATATTTCAATCGACCAACATTGGGGACAAGTCACAAAGGCACAGAACACGTGAATCGTACTGGTTTTCAAACATCAACACATGAACAACCTCAATAGCAACCTGGACAACCACCACAAAGGACATTCGAGTGCAGCAAAATCGAGTAAAGGAAGAGTCTCCCTTCTGTTCACTAGCCAACCTAGACTTGCCTCAACCACTTACTCAAAACAGTCAACTCATGCATCCAACTCAAGACATC